TATAAACTTAAATGGCTGCCTGTTCGAGAGCGTAGGTACTTAAGGACAGTGTGCACCCTTTTCAACATATTATACGATCCATGTACCCCTGGATATTTGAAATCTAGGTTTCAGTTCCTGGGGTCTTCTCATATATTAAATCTTCGGTCCATTAATAATCTGATACTCAATGTACCCATTCACCACACTAGGTTTGTCTCAAACTCTTTCACCGTTACTGCCGTTCGGCTCTGGAATGCACTTCCTTTGAACGTGCGTAACGCTCCAAGCAGGATTGTGTTTAAGACTTTGGCGCGGGAACACTACCTTAAGCAATTGCATAATGCTTAACCACAATCAGAATACTGTAATCCGACAAAGTATATGTGTTATAGGTATATGTGTATGTATGTATATATATATATATATATAAACATATATTTATTTATGTATAGTGTTTGTGTGTATATTTATATAAGTATGGTTGTATGTATAGTTAAGTGTTAGTATATTTGCTCATTGTTTGATTTTAATATCTCTTCTTTGATTCTGCCGTTTTTTATAGCTCTGTATGTTCTTTCCGGTTGACTGGTAGAGAATGCCATATTGGCATTAAGTCCGCCATTTGCAGTGTAAAGGCAATAAAGATTAAATAAATAAATAAATAAAAAAATTGTTTCAAAAGGCGTCGCGAGTTACAAGTCCATTCTAAAAAATAAGTAAATAAAATTAAGACAAACTACTTTCACATCAGACAAATAAATCACATCGTTTGTAAAATATTGAAGGAGTTGTGAAGAAAAAAGTATGACTGCTATTTTGTAACAGCGGCTATCTTGGATTTATTTACCTTTGATTATAAAGATACTGAATATATTTAAGTATATGCACCTATAGTCACCAGAACTACAGGTGTCTACCAAATTTCAGATCAACCGGTCAACAGGAAAGGGGTGAAATTTCCACTTCAAAATTTTACCCAAACAAATATAAAACCGTTTAATAAAAATATGAAGACTGAATAAAATCTAATGTGAAACACTGTCATTATTTTGAAATTCTAGTTGGCTTTGCTTTAATATTCAGTTGAGGTCACTGTACTAGATAGCTACGTTATCAATATTCAAAGCGAGAGAGACATGAATGCGCTCTGTTCCAACTATGTGAAAATATGAATGAGGGATACAGTGTGGACAGATACCTTTATTGAGACAAAGGACACATGGGCGCTTATATGACGACGTTGAGTAACCAAACTTGATTTTCTGTGACTAATAGCAACCCCTTTGCCGATAAGCTAATACCTACTATCTGTTGGAATGTCGCCATTTGTGTAACTGAAACACATTGTCGTTCATATCATTAAATTTAGTGACGACACTACCGAAGATGTTGTTTTGGTATTCATTTTATTTGTAAAAGGTTGTTTGGGTTTTGGTGTTGGCGTCAACAAACAATTTTAATGGATTTTTCTATAAATAATTTGTTTAGGTATTTCTTTGTTACGCTTATGCGTATAAACTGTTGAATAGATTTTATTATTGTTTGGTGCAGAGATAAAAAGGAATTAAAGTAGGACATAGAGAGGTACATAGACTTTGTGAAGAAAATAATTAACCAAAAATTAATTTTTCAGTGCAGATAAATTTTCGACTATTAGCCCGTAGATAAGCATTTATACCTATATATAAAAAAAGCCATTACTTAAAAACATAGATATGTCAGCCTATGGATATGGCTATGCTCATCGTCATAATAAATATTAAGTCTGTTTTGTAGTTTCTAAGAATAATACACGTACACTGAAATGGCCGAACATCATAAATGTTTCATTATAATCCTCAAAACTACGCCCCGACGTCATTTCTCCCGGCAATTTATTACAAGTGGTTTTCTTAATAAAACAGTGACAGGTTACTGGAAAATCAGCTTCGATAGCTGCCAAAAGTATTATGTCACTTGATAGACTTATGTGAGTAGCCGATGTCACGAGAATCTATAAATTATGCTAGCAAATACTTTGTACCTTATTATATTATGGTTGTACCTTAAAATGTTCACGGAAATAAGAGAAGAATCATCGTCACCATCAACATCAGCCTATTAATGTCCCCACTGCTGGGGCACAGGCCTTCCCTTTGGATGGAATAGGGAGATTGGGTGCTAACGACTGCAGATACAGCCGGGACCAATGGCTCAACGTGCCTTCCGAAGCACGGAGGAGCTCGAGATAGTAATTTTTGGTCAACCATCCAATGACAGACCACTGTGAAAGTTGCTTAAGTTCAACGATCGCAGCCGAACGCGCTAACCACTTGCGCCATCGAGCTCCTCCGAGAATTAAGATTAATGAAGGTAAAATAAATAAATATTTCCAACATTGTGTGATCAATATGAGCCTAGCCCCAAAGAATCAATTTAAGACCAAAGTCAAATTTTCGAATGCAATCTTGTTTATTCAGTCTAGGCTGTAACAAAGACTTGTGAATGTCGAAAAGCTGCGCCATCGGTTCGCAACCATGTACTGAGAAGAACCGACATAGAACTCAGCAAGGGCTGTTTTTTTCTCCCCTGTATCACTTCACCCATTGCAAATACGATTAATTAATCTAAATTTTATAATTTACATATTATTATAACAATTCATGTTATGTAGTATACAATTTATAAAATTATGATTAACACATAGTTTATGAATGCCGTATCTTACAGTTAAGACAGAAAACAAAATGTGCAATTAAATCAAATACTATTTTATAAATAGTACCGAATGTAGCAAGAGCAGATTAATCTCCGCTAGCAGCACTCATTCACGAGCATGACGCATAACAAAGCAGTCGTCGCTTCACTCAACCATTTTTTGGACAACTTAACACGACACGGTCTAAATTAAGAACATATTGACGACCTCCGTGGCCGTGTGGTTTATACGCCGGGTTTCATGGCGTCGCCGACTCGAGAGGTCCCGGGTTCGAACCCTGGTGGGGCAGATGTTTATGTGATGAATAGGAGCATTTGTACTCCAGTCATGGATGTTTAATACGTATTTCATATAAACATGCTTATATATGTACAATATATTATGTATTCTATTCTTTACCCTAGTATCCCATAACACAAGCCTTTACAGTGCTTACTTTGGGGATAGGCTAATTGGTGTGAGTGTTGGAAATATTTATTTATTTATATTAAAGTTCATCACTATATCAACAGAAGTATATATACAACGGTTAACTAGAGCCGAGGCCCGAGTCTCAGAGACGCCCTCTAGTTGAGCCGAGCCGCTCATGTTCGAGTGGTCTAAAGGCTCCAGACGGAGAGGCGACTCCCCCCGTGGGGAGATCCCATCCGCCTAGAATACCTCTAGAGGCACTCGCCGATTCTCGGCTTGAGGTCCCCTTAGGATCTCGCCGGTCCCAAACCCGGTGACGCTGTAAAGGTCATCTTCTACCAACAGCATACACACACTCAAGAAAAAAAAAACAGAAGTATGAACTTCTATACGTGTTCATTCAATTATTCGTGCTTTTTTACAAGTTAAGTTCCTTGAATTTATCAAAACTTTAACACGACCATATTGAAAAAACTTGAATTTAACATGTCGCTGTTGAAACTTGTTCATGATAAATAAATAAATAAAATTATGTTTATAATCCACGTAGCCTATAACACAAAAGTGCTAACGATAGAGTATTGCCTGGCTAATTTTAAATTGCTCATTAATTCGCATAGCCCGAGAGATACGTCAATACATTTTTCATATATTTTGCTAATTTTTGTTGCTATGCCCCTTGGTTGACTATGTTTATTATTCTAGAATAAATAAAACTACCAATTTGTATTATATTATACTGTTGGTATCTACTTTAAAATTTAAATGCTACAGCTGCGAATTTAAATGTATTATTCTGTCGTTTATAGCATACCACTTGCAAAAACTGCACAAATAATTGAATTTGGACCTACAAAAGCTTACATACTTCTGTAGAAAAATTAATAAACTACTCACTATTTATACTCAGGCCAAGTGGTTTGATACATATTTAAATATGACTATTAGTCAATATCACGTCAAATACACATTTAAGATTCTCAGGAAACTCAAAATACTCGCTGTATATGCGTAGAAATTAAATTCGACCCGTGAAAATAAGGTGGTGAAGGACATTTGAGCTGTGGTTTTACCTATTTAAAACTTTTAAGTCGATGAATCTCAAAGGGCGCCGCCCGTCAAGCTCCTGATGTATTTCAAGCATTCTCCTTTGGTTCTATCAACATTCATTACCTTAGCATTTCGTCTAAGTCAATCCAGCACATAGATTGTAGTACCACACATCTTTGTACCTTACTCTCTGGAAGTAAAGGTTAAATTTCCATGGAAAACGTTCAAAGACCATGTGTCGACCACAGTACGTGAGAGAGCTTTGACTGGAGCACGACAGCGAAATGCAATTTTAATACGTTTCATATAGCCCAAGCTAAAGCTAAAGCCGAGCATAATTTTATTAAGGTCATGAAAATAATTCAATCATCTATTTAGCTGATTTAAATATGAATTGTAAAATTCGCTCTGCAGAAATTATGCATTCTAAATTTTTACCTTCATTGATTCTTCCTTTACTTATTCTCTATGAATTTTTACCTCTGCAATTTAATTTTATATGTACAAAGGACTTCTTTAATAAGGGTTTGGTATAATCCATCTTCATCAACAAATAAATTGAAGTAAATTTTTAAATATTTTTAACTGCTTTTACTAAATTAAAAATGATAACTATCCGTGGTTAAACAAACAGTATACACTTAAATTATAGAAAGTAAAAATAAAGCTCGGGAGAGCTCTAGAAAAACATTTTTAAGTCACCCATACAATGACCGCTCATTGCGAAAGTCGCTTAACTTTTTACGCTGGCAGAAAGAACGCGCTTAACCGACGCTCGGCGCCGTGGTATAGCTCCTTAAAAAACTACCAAAGATTTATGTTCTACTAATGATTACCAATACTTTTCTTTCTGTTCTAGCGCTCCTCCTAGGGACTCTCAAGATGATGCAACGGGCTTCGTGCGATGAGGACATGGTCTCCCTCGCCTGTCCCACCGCTACCACGATCAGTATTCAAGTAGCGCTGTACGGGAAGGCCGGAAAGGACGGCCATGTTTGTGCCTCGCTGGGCTCCAACGCTGTAGAGGTTGTGGAAGACGAAAACTGCTTGTGGCCCAACACTATGCAGGTGATTATTTTTATTTGCAGCATCGTGTACGCACGCATACAATAATAATAATGAAAATTTTGGAAAATCCAAAAGTGCACGCCTCACATTTACGAAACAGAAACCCAGTAAATAAATCCCATCGAATTTCAATAATATCTTTAAAACGGTTATTAGTTCAATCATGATAAGAAATAGGGTTCATCCTCAGTATAAGTGGGAATTAATTCAAAAGGATTTATTACAATTAATTGCGTATATTTTTCTAAAACGTGCAGAACAAGTGCATAGACCAACGAACAGCAGTACTAATAATTTTTTAACTATTTTTTTTTATTATATATACTTAAAAAAAATATGAAAAAATACGCTGACTTTATTTTTTTTTTTCGAAACACAGCTTTTTTTATTGATTTAGTGTCTAACTTGGGAGATAAGAGCGATTTTATATTGTAAAATCGTCATATAGCGGCCTATCGAAAGTAAAGCACTGCCACGCGCTTGCGCGTTGTGAGGCGTGCAATATTTCCAACATCCAATTACCCTAGCCCCAAAGTAAGCACTATAAGGCTTGTGTTATGGGATACTAGGGTAACCAATAGAATACATATATTATATATATAAGTACATTTTATAGTAATACATATTAAACATCCATGACTGGAGTATAAATGCTCGTATTCATCACACAAACATCTGCCCCCACCGGGATTTGAATCCGGGACCTCTCAAGTCGGCGAAACCATGTAACCCAACGTACAAACCACTCGGCCACGGAGGTCGTCAACATACATATCATTTTCAAATGTCTATTACTGACAAATCGTATGATTAGTGACCGCCTACTGTAAACGTAGCCATGCATGATACATGCAAAATATTTTCGATGGAAAATATCAGTATTATTAGTTCCACGGCACTACTGAGGCAATCATGTCTCATCACATGAAACTTAGTCAGTGGTACAGATACACTAGGTTTACCCAGTCTCGTCCCTAAGACATAGAGTAGGCAATGATATAGAGTTTCTGCTGGACCAGTACCAATAAGCAAGCACTTTTAATTTCAACAATAAAATAATTTCTGCCGGAGGCCATATTCTAATTAACCGTCTACTGAATATTTGTTAATGTACCTATACTAGTAATTAATTAGTAAAGTAATTAAGCATATTAGTTCATCGCGGGCTAAGGGATTAAAATACGTCTTTCATCGAGGATCAATAAGGATAATCTAAATTGAAATGTATCCTTGCCTGTGCTCGTATGTCTTACTACAAGGGTCTCATTTGTGATTTGATATTGAACTTCATTGATTATCAACTACATATTTGACAATTATTAAATGTTAATTTATTTATTTAATTAATAAATTAATTAAATCTATTAAATGTGTGTAATCATACGTATGCATCATTTAACGTGAAAGTTTAAATGGATGGATGGATTTACTCTATTATAGTCCAGAATCCCAAGCTCTAATGCACAAAATATGGATAATAACTACCTTATGGTGAATGAATTATCTAAATCGGTTCAACAGGTTGAGCCATTATTTGTTACATTAAACTCTTGCCACTATATAATATTAGTATAGATAGTTAGGCCAGATGCATGCGCAAATATTTAATTGATGAAAAAGATTTAAAAATAAACTAAATTATAGGTTTATTTAATTATATTTCTCAAAATTAGCTTAGCATTTTTGGTAAACAGTGTTAAGGTATTCGCTAATTTATACATTCTTATTCTTATTTTGTTTATAGGTGGTACAAACAGATTTGACACGGACACTGACTATATACCTGCATAACGTTATATTACGCCCTCAGTCAGAAACGGCTTACGCTTCCTGTAATTAAGGCCACGCTACAAAAAGTCTTGCTTACATTTAGCTCTAAAGCAATCCAGATTATCAACGATCTGCCATAAAAAAAGAAACATCGTTTTATAATACACCTTACCGAAATGTAATTGGATGCAATAAACAATCTGTCTGTGCCAAATCCTTAACGTTGAAAACATTTAACTGTCAATGAGACAATTTGAAAGTAAGTCTTATTTTACTGCTATGTCTCTCTAAACCAGCTAACCACGTTTAAGTTGGTCTTTCACTATACATCATAAGGTTTAACAGATGTTCTTAAATAAAAGAGTGTTAAAAAAACGAGAGTTTAAGCAAATGCTCGAAAATAAAATCCTCTTTGGAATACCCAGACTGAGTACGTTTTTCTACTGCTCAAAGTTCCTTTAAACATTACTCAACACTCGGGCGAAATAGTTTGAAGTAGTGCTATATCGTTTAAAGTTGTTGTTTACTTTTACATACAATAGAGAACTCAACAGATGGCCAAGATATTTTTTAAACCGAAGAATGCTACGATAGCCTAGGGTCTCCAGCGCATGTTTTGCCCTATGCAATCGACATTCAACAAAATTGTTTGCACGACACATATTTGTTTTGCACCAACAAAGCTTTTGCTTTCCGAGCTCGATAGAAAACACGTACACAAATTATCCGCGCGGCTCGAGGAGCAGGGAAATGTTTCATCGGGCATTTTTTTGACAACTCGATAGCGGGGACTGCGTTCCAACCCTACGCTTCAAATACAACTTTTCACTCTGTCTTTCAATTTTGACATAAAATGTATGAAATTTTTGTCAAATTTGACATTCGTTGCACTTTAATCGTAGATATAGAACGCAGCGCTGTGTATTCTGTCTACGACAGCCACGTGAGCAGTAGGCGGCGTGTGTAGAGAATCATGTTACATAAGCAAAGTTTTGTGTATGTGTTTTTGTTAAATGTTTTTAAAAACTTTTGCTGGAGATCCGGCTTCAGATGAACTACATCCACACTATGTCTTGAGCAACTTACCGTTTGTTATGTTCTGAGCTTTGGTGCTTACAGGCTCAAGTTTCTATGGCCTCACAAACTTAAACTTTGAGTCTATGCATTATTTATTAAATCTATCTATTGATATCTATTGATAGATTTAATAAATTGTTTACTAACTTCACATCAAAAATTACTTTTCAAAACCCTTTCGTAACATTGCTAATGAAAGTAAAAACCATATGAACATTAATGTTACGAAGTATAAAATAACATAGAACTTTATTGCTACAAAATAAGGTTAAACAGCCCTTTTCCAATTTTTAGTAGAGATAAGCATTATTAAATGTTACTACATAATCCTTAATTTCGCCAAAAAAGTCAAATTACTCTCTTAAAAACAAATAAAATTTATACCAATTGTGAATTCGTCGTAATACTTTTATTTGACGTGCTGAGTAGTAGTTTTTTTTATGTTAACGGTTCGAGCATTTCGTTTCTTTGACGCTATATTATATGAGTACAAAATGATTTTCATATTGAACCTTAAATGTCGTTAATGCTCTAAGTATTGAACTGCCAAGTATTGAACAACAGGTTTTGCACCACAAAATTCGCTTCCTCCTCAAATGCAATCTAGTCAAGTCAAGTCAGACCCACTGCGTATAATTCCACTTGTGAGTTAAAGTGAAAATAGTTTGAAGGTAATCGCATTCATTAAAAATGTGTCAATATTTAATTTACGAATATTTTTTTTTTTCTCCCCACAGTATTCGCTTTTGCAAACGGTGGTGGAAGCCTGTCAAAAGAAGCCGCACTGCAAGTTCAGTACAAAACCCAGACCAGGCCTCAAAGACCCCTGCCCCCGTACTAGAAAGTTCGTCGACGTCGCATTCAAATGCAGGCCCTGTGAGTATACGAAATTAAGTTTATTTTAATATGTCAAAACACAATTTAGGTCATTTCTTCAAAGAGGTTAAAATCAAAGGAACTACGCTTCTTATTCGAAAACAGTAGAACGAAATTTATTTTGGAGCCGTATTTCTTCAATAGTAATATTAAAACTTTTGGGTGTTACTTACTTATATTTCGACTTATACTAACTAGAATACTTGCTCAAGAAGACCGCTTTGAGAATTATGAGCATAAGTTAAATAAGTTTGAATTTTGAATGCTACGGAAAACTCTTGAACAATTTTTTACTGCCGTTGCTTGATGTTTAAATTAATCAAATTGACAGGTTCAAATAGGTAAAAAGTGAGTATATTGGATTTTTTGTTGAGTATATTGGATTAGAAAAAAACTGAACGTTACAAAATACATATAACTTAACGCACATAAATACCGATAATATCAAAACGCACCGCTCCGTAAATCGAGGAGTGCAGGAGTAATGTCTGGTTTTTACTGGCCCTGTTCAGGGCGTTAGGTAGGGCGGGCCCTGCTAAATTTATCGAGCCCCAGGGCTGGCTAAAATGAGCAGGGAGGAGGCCCAATTCTTCTTGCTCCCCCGGTGGTTGAAGGATCCGTGAGGCTATTTTATCAGCTAATGACATGAGGATACTGTTGATAAAGTTCGGAATGAATGTGTAACAGGTTTGACAACTTATATCGTGCAACTGCTGCTACGACGGCAGTTGCCGGTGCCGTAGACCGTAGATGGAGGCGTTGGTGTCGTAGATGAACAATTATAAGCATAGTATCAAAAATGAAATATGCCATTATGCAACGCTACTGTAATAACGCGATCAAGCGCAACAGCTAATTTTAAAATTTAACAATGTTGTTGGTGATTTAATGTTCTGGGGAAAGTAGTAAAAAGAAATAATAAATGTGTCTGTCGCGTCGTTGTTATATTAACAGGGAATATGCATGTAATTCAAATAATTCTTTTTTTCGCGGTGGGTAGTTGTAAAAGAAAGTCGATTTTAAGTGTCTCTTAATTTTAATTATTTATTTAATTACAAATAATAATTCAAGAATTAAAATTCTTATGTCAAATTAATAAATAGTGCACAGTACCTGCCGGCGAGTGTTATCTTCATTATTTATTATCACTAACACTTGTTTTCGTCATCAACATAATGGACAGCATACAGGAAACACTGTCTCAACTGCAAAATGTGTTTGTAAAGCGGATGGATGCCTATCAAAGTGAGCTGCAAGCTGCTACTCCATCAGCTACTGTTTCCAATCTGACAGCAGACTTCACTACATTTAGGAGTTTTATTCTTTCCTCCGTTCAAAGTCTGCAGGAACAAATTAACCTGCTGGCTCATCAAGTTGACAGCTTAGAAATGCATAGCCGCCGGAAAATACTCCTCCTCCATGGTCTGCCAGAGCTATCAGAGGAGGATGTTACAGCTGCTGTTGTACAGGCTGTCAGAGCTAAGCTGGGGCTGACAGCCTTCTCTTCTGGCGACATCAGTCGTTGTCATCGGATGGGTCGCTCTTCTACAAATCATCGTCCACGGCCAATTGTAGTAAAGTTGAGAGAATTAGTTGTCAGAAATAAAATGTGCTTCATCAAAACCGCTTTGAAGGGCACTGTAAGACATTAACAGAGTTCCTTACTAAGAACAGGCATGATGCGTTCATAGCTGCACGAGAGCGGTTTGGCGTTAACAAATGCTACACGCGTATGGGCTTCGTGTTTATCATTGGCGGTGATGGCAAGCGACACCGCATCAGCAATCTTGCCGAGCTGCAAAAGATCCCAGCTCCAATAGTGGTGAGAGCTGAGTCACCCACGCCGAACAAAACCCCAGCACCAGTAGCGACGAGAGTCGCGTCGCCCGAACTGAATAAAACTTCAGCACCAGTAGTGGCAAGAGTCGAGTCGCCTAAGCCTGCAGCTTCAACATCTAATAACGCCAAGACGAGACGTGCGGCCAACACAGCAAGCAAGAAGTAACAAGGTTTCCAATAGATATTATCTTCTTTGTCACTGTTTGTTATTTTTCAAGTGTGTCACAAAAGTTCGTTGCTTCTATGCTATCATAGCATCCTGTTGCATCGGTAAATAGCCATTTCCTATACAAACTTAGCTATTACTTATTGTTTTCATAAACGAGGGTGTAATTTTTAAAACGATAACCATAAACTTTTCTTGTACTAATCTCGAAAGATTTCTAAATTACTATTATTAAGCACCATCCATCACCTTGACTCACACCAGACATAAAAGCGTTGATGCAAAAAAAGAACGTGGCTAAGTGTAAGTATAAAATTCGTCCGACACACTCTAATAAAAATAACTATGCAAAGGCTCGCAATCACTGTAACATGGTGTGTAGGGATGCTTTACGTCGCCATATTCATGCATCTGTCAGCAACACTGATCCTTCTAAAGTGTGGAACTTCCTTAGGTCACTTGGAATTGGTAAACCTCGTCAAACGTCTTTTACTAGTAACATCGATGTCAATTCACTTAATGTTCATTTCTCTGTATCTTCTAGTCTCAGTGATTTGCACAAGGCTAATACTATAAATATTCTTTCATCTTTACCAGTTCCAGACTACTCTCCTTTTGCCTTTATTCAATTTTCCGAATGTGACGTTAAGAAGCGCATGCTATCCATTTCTTCCAATGCGGTGGGTAATGATAGCATTAGTCGTAATATGCTGATACCTATCTTAGATATAATCCTTCCAATCCTTACCTTTCTTTTTAATAGCTCTTTATCAAATGCTGTTTTTCCATCGGCTTGAAAAGAGGCCCAAATCATCCCTTTGCCCAAAAAATCTAATCCTCAATTTCTTGCTGATTTCCGGCCTATTTCTATCCTTCCTTTCTTGTCTAAAGTCCTTGAACGTCTTGTCCTTAACCAATTCACTACATTCCTGTCTCGTCATAATCTTTTTAATCCTCTTCAATCCGGTTTCCGTCCTGGGCATAGTACTACGAAAATCCCTCCTGAAAATTACAGATGACATACGCCATGGGATGGATCAAGGTCATCTCACAGTATTGACGTTATTGGACTTCAGCAATGCCTTTAATACTGTAAATTTTGACATTCTTCTGGCTTTGCTGCGCTCTCTTAACGTATCTCCATCGGCAATTGAGTGGTTTCGCAGCTATCTGCAGGGACGCAGGCAGAGGGTTCGCCTCGATAAGATTTTTTCCTCATGAAGCGACACTTCTGCTGGTGTTCCCCAAGGCGGCGTTTTATCTCCTCTTCTCTTCGCTATATTCATTAATTCTATTTCCAATAATATTTCTTCTTCCTACCACCTGTATGCAGATGATCTTCAAATTTATAGGCAAGCCCCTCTCGGTCAATTATCCGAAGCAATACTGGCCACAAATAATGATCTGCGACAAATTGTAGAGTGGAGCGAATCTTTCGGGCTAGAAGTAAATCCCTCCAAAACACAGTGCATCATCATTGGTAGCTCGAGTTTGATTGCCAGAGTGAACTGGCAATTACTTTCTACCATAACTCTTGCTGGCACCAATATACCATTCAAAGTTTCTGTTCAAAATTTAGGATTAACTGTCGATAATTGCTTGAGCTGGGGTCCACAGTTACAAGCTGTTAGCCGAAAACTGTTTGCTTCGGCAGCCTCGCTGAAGAGACTCCGCAATTTCCTCCCTACTGTCACCAAAATTTCCCTAGCACAGTCTCTGCTGCTTCCTATTCTTGATTACGCTGACGCCTGCTATCTTGATCTCACGGAAGACCAGCTTAATAAGCTTGAGCGACTTCAAAATTTCTGTATTCGTTTCATATTTAGCTTACGCAAATATGATCATGTGTCACAATTTCGATCACAGCTCAAGTGGCTACCAATTCGACTTCGCCGGAATACTCACATCCTCACACTTCTCTACAATATATTGTTCAATCCTTTGTCCCCGCGCTATCTCAAGGAATGCTTCAATTACCTTCATAGCTCAAACGCGTTATCTCTTAGGTCATCAGAAAATTTGACCCTAAACACAACCTTCTATGGTCGTTCTTTTGCCGTCCAAGCTGTTCGCCTGTGGAATTCTCTTCCAGTAACCATATGACGAGCACAATCTATTTATATTTTCAAAAATCTTGTTTTCAACCATTATTTGTCGATGTAACTGCATTTTTATTTTTATTTTTAATATTTTTTTTTCTGACTGGACTAAACTTATATATGTGTAGTCTATGTATGTATGTGTCATATATTTATATTATATGTATATATATCTTAAAGTTATATTATGTGTATATATTATGTATGTATGGTATGTACATATATTTAAAATATATAGTTATATACATTTTTATATCCCTTGTTTTTATTTTATTTTTATAACACCACCGATTCCAGTTTCTTTCAATCCTCTCCATCCAAAGGTTGTCTGGAAGAAATCGCTTTTAGTGATAAGACCGCCCATTGAAACACTATGTTTAAACATAATGTATTTACCCCATTTATGTACTATACTGTGGTGTTTTCAATAAAGAATTGTGTATTGTATTGTATTGTATTGTATAAGCCTCATTTTATTTTCATATAAACTTTATTTCTTTTAAGTTGTACATCCATACAGGGTATATCCCCTGTATGCAGTATAAAACAAAACTATTTACTAACTACGGCTTTAAATAAGCTACTAAATGCAAATATCAAAAAATGTCTATTCCAAGGTGATTTTATAAAATTCAATAATACTTTAAAAGACATATTGTGTTAGGAAAGTTCAGCGTGAGTCCCTACCGACAATCATGTTAGCGTACTCACACTTAAAAGTTTATGGTCTATGAAAAGGGCACAGGTAGCGACCTGGTGTGAACTCCTGCTTTATGAAAACACTGTAACACTTATTTCTTTATATTGTTACCATCAAAAAATAAGAGAAAAAACAGTTACGTTTATTTTAATTTAACATTGACATTGGTGTCGATTCTGGCGTGATTCTCTTAACT